ATTCCTCGCACGGCACAAACATTTGTACTCATGAGTATGATTGTTTGTATCGGTCTGGATGTTTTCTCTTGTATAATATGTATGTATTTACGAAAAAAAAATTATCTATGTATCTGTATCAGTTATCTAGTACCCATAACACAAGCTTTAGCTAGCTTAACTTGGGACTAGATGGCACTGTGTGAATTGTTCTGAGATTATTATTATTATTATTATTATATATCAAAATAAATTAAAGTAAATGTTAAAATAATTCAATCATTTTCAGTCACTTATGCAAGTCATAAAATTAAACATATATATATATATATATATATGTAATTAAACAATGTACACATACAGAAAATCTTAATACCTGTAATCCCCTTCCGATCGATCCCCCGTCCAATTCAAACGGGGATCGAAATTACGACGGCCTGAGCCGAGATTCGATCCCTAGTGGTATCCTCAGTCTAAAGTCGTATCAGTCAGGCGGGAGTTGGCCTTCAGCCGCTCCATAAGTCCTTCCTTTGGTTTGGAGTGCCATCTGCACTCGCCCCTTATCATCCGGTGAAGCTGTAAAGGCCAGCTGCGGCCAACAGCATTAGAGTAGTCCGAAAAAAAAATATTTGTAGTACATTTAATATTAAAAAAAACCCTAAACAATTAACATAGCGCCATCTAGTCCCACGGTAAGCAGAGCTTGTGTTATGAGTACACAACTGATATAAATACTTACTTAGATACATTTTTTTGTAAGTACATAATACATAGAAAACATCCAGACCGATACAAACATACTCAGGAATACAAATCTTTGTACCGTGCGAGGAATCGAACCCGCGACCATCACGCGCACAGCGGTATGCTAAACCACTAGACCACCGAGGTCGTCTATATTGTAGGATGTCATTCAGATACGCGCGCACCAAAAGAATTCGTGCCAGAATCGAATTCGCAACCATTGGAAGAAAAGCGCTGTCCTATACCGCTAGACCAGCGAGGTCGTCAGAATAACATAATAGCCTCAAAAAAGATTTGGTTTCGTCCCGATCAGCCTAATAGCGGTGTTTGTAAACAAATCGGTTGGACTCGGTGTCCATTGTACTTGTAACAAAACGATAGTGATAATAACATTTCCCGTTCACTGTTCACTAACATAGTACTCGTCAAGTCATAAGCGACTAGCGAATATACATGTGTGGGACTGTGAGTAGGGCGCTGGGGTCAGTGCAGTCAACGATGGTGGTAATTAAAGGCGCAATATGAATGTATAATAGTATATTTTAAAAATATATGTCGTAACAAAATTATGTGTGGTAGCAAAAGGCAAGAGGAATAACCAATAACAAAACCATAGCAACAAAATGACAATATTTAAAGTATAATAATATAAATATTTAAAAATACGAATTGACGTACCATTCATATGTTCATTACATAGGATACATTTTACTTAAAAAAAAACTTTTTCTACTTCAGCGCCATCTGGCAGTCAGTAATTAAGTTATGCGAGCGAAGCCGCGGTTAAGAGCTAGTGAGTTGATAAAATAAAAAAAAAATATGATAAAAATTAATTTACCCACCCCGATCACTCATTTACACACACACGACACCGTCCTCGCCGGGGAAGACGACGACCCCCAACACACCATATCGCGCAATCAACCGGGCACTCCACACCAGCGACCATGGTCGCCCCTCCGAACGATCCTCCAATTCAAACGGGGATCGATATTACGACGGCCTGAGCCGAGGTTCGAACCCCTAGTGGTGCCCTCAGACTAAAGTCGTATCCGTCAGGCGGGAGTTGGCTTTCAGCTACTCCATAAGTCCTTCCGCGTATTTGGAGTGCCATCTGCACTCGCCCCCTATCGTCCGGTGAAGCTGTAAAGGCCAGCTGCGGCCAACAGCATTAGAGTAGTCCGAAAAAAAAATCATTTCCATCTTGTACCACAGATATTTCACACCTGTCAACGATTTCAGGGTTCATTATAATTATTATATTATTATAAATATATCTTGATTGTCATTCAGTTTGTAAACAATGTCTCCTTTGTTTTTGACACATAATAGCTATTTTGCGTATTGTGCGAATGTGGAATGACCGTCACTGCAAACACTTGTATAAATTTCTAAATTCTAATATAAATGGTACACGAAATTAACTCTTATTTTGCTCATCATAAGTGTCATTATACAATTTCCCGAAATATTGTGACGGCGTCACTGGTTTAGCACGCCGTTTAGCACTCTTTACTACCAGTTCGATTCCTCTCACGCTACAAACGTTTGTATTCCTAAGTATGTTTGTATCTGTCTGGGTGTTTTCTATGAATAATAATAATCTATAATAATCTCAGGACAATTCACACAGTGCCATCTAGACCCAAATTAAGCTACCTAAAGCTTGTGTTATGGGTACTAGACAACTGATACAAATACATAGATATGTATTTTTTTTTCGTAAATACATACATATTATACATAGAAAATACCCAGACCGATACAAACAATCGTACTCATGAATACAAATGTTTGTGCCGTGCGAGGAATCGAACCCGCGACCATCGGAAGTAAGGCGGTGTGCTAAACCGCTAGACCACCGAGGCCGTCAATGTTATTTATGTATTTGCAAAAAAAATATCTGAGTATTTATGTCAGTTGTCTAGTATCCATAACACAATCTCTGCTTATCTTGGGACTAATAGTCCAAGAAAATTTTGAATTAAACCTCATTTTATATATTGCGTCAAAACTGGGCACACCCAGTTTTGACGCAATATATAAAAATAAGTCGCAAATACGTGAATAATATTCCGAAAGAAATTTTTGATTTAAATTGACGGGAGAGAGATGAAAAAATTAAAAATAGGGTTGAAAAACCCAATTTTTCAATATAACTCGATAACGATAAGAAATATAACGAAATGTTTCAAATAAAAGTTGTAGAGGAAAACAATCTGCACAAAACAGATTCTTTTCATTTTTTTCATTATCTGCTGTTTAGTCCAGTAAATTTTAAATTAAACCTTGCTGTGAACGGTTTTATCGCAATATATCAAAATAAGTTCGCAAATACATGAATAATAATATTCAGAAAGACATTTTGATTGAAGTTGACGTGGAAGGTTTCAATTTGATTTGAATTGTATTTGAAACTGAATTTGGATTTGGATTTGAATTTGAATTTAAAAAAAATTAATTTAAAAACTCTGTTTTTCTTTAATATTATTTTCCTTAGTCCCGTCAAAATCAGTCTTATTATTGGCAGGTAGCTGATGTAATAAGAAGTAACTTAAGCTACTTATATTTTAGAAAAAAAAGTTAAATAATTATGTTTCCACTAATGCGCCACTTACTCTATTTTTTTTTGTAAATACTCTCTTTCCAAAGGTAGTCTGTAAGAGATCGCATTAGCGATAAGACCGCCTTTTGTACTTAGTTTTTTTTTTTGTTTTTAATTTGTTCATGTCCTTTATATGTTGGTGCAATAAAGTGTTATAATAATAATAATAAATTCCATGTGGACGAAGGCGCGGGTACAGTGACTAAAATATATATATGTACAAGTGTCAGTGAACGTAAGACAAGTGCGATACAATCACAATGTGTCTGTCTGTCTCAGTGTGTGTGGGGTGTTGACAGCTGCCGTATACCAGTAGATACTTACCTAAACAACGGAATCCTCCGTTGACCCCACAACGAACGATGTAATGACGCTCCGATAATGACGTCTTTTAGAAACAATGTTACAATTGTTGAGCTTTCCACGCAGTGATATACCAACCAATGCGCATCGAATTTGCACTGTTGCATATGCATGCATAACAAATATAACAAATGTTAACAATGTTTTCATTTCGAAATTCAAAACATTTTTAGAATCATATTTATCCTGCATTTAATTATTTAATCCAAATATGTATATACAGTATACTAGCTGTCCTGGCTAATGTTGTTTTGCCTAAAAATAAAAATAAAAAATTTAGGGGTAGACTACCCCTAACATTTAGGGGGATGAAAATAGATGTTGGCCGATTCTCAGACCTACTCAAAACGCTCACAAAATTTCTTGAGAATCAGTCAAGCCGTTTCGGAGGAGTATGGGAACGAAAACTGTGACACGAGAATTTTATATATAAGATATATGTATATGGATTATAGTTTAAATAAATAAATTTATTGAGCAAAGCCTGTTACACACTAAAGATTACTCGAATGACAAACGTACATGTAGAGTCGAGTTTTAAAAAAAAGAAGCTCAGTTGAGTTTTTTGGCTGTTCTTCTCAATTGCATGTGTATACTGAACTGGACGGTAGGGAACAAATGTCCAAAAACTAAAATATCCTACATGTAAAAATATATTTTTGATTTGATGTTTTTTATTTCTCTCTCCTTCTATTACTTTGGATGTTTTTTCTTCTTTTAATTACAATGACTTCCACCAAATGAGATCGGGCATTTTGCCAACAGTAGTGTGGTTTATAGAGTTTTAGTTGAAAACGATTAATTTATTTTATGATTACTCTATATTCGATTTATTTGATTATTTTTTCTGTTCATCCCTTGCGAATAAAAAAAATATTCATAGTATTATTTTAATAATAAATAATATATACATGGTATTTATTGCAAGCAACGGGACAAGATATAGTATGTGTGTATTACAGCTACAAATGGATCATACGGGGGTATGTTCCCATCAAAAGCGGATATAGAGACCAGAACACACAGGGTTATCTAATTCGAAGCTATTAATTAAAACCACAATTCTAACCTTTATGCCTTTAGTATTAAAGAATATTATTACTTTAGACTAATAATTTCCGTGTATTACAACTACAAATGGAGGTATGTTCCCACTAAAAGCGGATAGAAAGAGGCCAGAACACACGCTTATTTAGAAGATACTAATGAATAATTTGAAGCTACTAATGAAAACAACAATTCTAATCATTATGCCTTTAGTGATAAAGGTTATTATTACTTTAGACTAATAAATCCCTTGTGTTAACAGCTACAAATGGACCATACGGAGGTGGGTTCCCATCAAAAGCGGACAGCGAGAGCAGTAGCGGAAGCGGATGGCGACGAGACGCAGCGAGGCGGGCGCGCGCGTGCTGCTCCACCAAGTCGCTACTGAGGCGTGTCCCCATACTTTCATGGCTGCCTAAATACTCCTTTAGGAATGGAATATCGGATATTATTGCTGGTAAGCCTGATCTTCTTATAGTAGCTAGACTATTTTACAGGCGGGAACTGACAAGAATTTCAGCTCGTATTATAAAAAAAAATACGAGCTGAGTTTCTTATCAATTCTTCTCATCTCGAAATCATTCCGAATTGACGGTAGATTTGACATATCATAAGAGTCTGTAATAGACCTACATGAATAAAGATATTTTGAATTTTGGAACATAATATTACTAAGATTAAAAAAAAGTGATATAATTTGAGACCCTGAGTGTGAGACTGTGTGTAGGGTTGATTTTCTATTTCTATTTCTCAGGACTGGTATATTATATGTCCCAAGTTGGTGCAGCTAACAATGGTATATAAATACATATTATAAGGTAATTGAAGGCGCAATATGAATGTATAACAGTATATTATATGTCGAAACAAACTATATATAGTAACAGAAGGCAAGAGGAATGAGGAATAATAAAATATGGTAACAAACATAATATTCGTGTAAAAATATAAGTATTTGAATGTACGAAATATCGTGCCAGCCAGTGGCCCGAATTAAGGAATCCTGTACACGCTGTTCTTCATGAGGGTGGTGATTGTGCCTCTTTTTAGGGAAGGACGGAAAATACCATCCTATTACCTTTTCAAAAGTTCATCGCCCCAACAGATCATGACATGTTATTATTGCTGAATTAGATTATGTACGTAATATTTTGAAAATCAATGGATTTTAAACTGTATATATACGAGACTAGCTACCCACCCTGGCTTTGCACGGGTGTACATGTTTTATACATATAAACCATCCTCTTTAATCACTTTATCTATTTAAAAAAATCGCTTCAAAATCCGTTGCGTAGTTTTAAAGATTTAAGCATACATAGGGACGGACAGACAGCGACAGCGACTTTGTTTTATACGATGTATATGTAATGATTATGTTAAAAAGGCACGCGAGTAACAAACAGGTTTTACAAATTAAAGTTTTTATAAATATGCTAATTGTAAATTGTTTTGTTGAGTAAATATATTCTACATACTAGCTGTACACGCGACTTCGTCCGCGTGGAATTGAACTTTGTTTTTCTTTCTAAAATAAAAGTAGCCTAAGTTACTCCTTATTACATCAGCTACCTGCCAAACAAAGTCCCGTCAAAATCGGTCCAGCAATTTCAGAGATTAGCCGGAACAAACAGACAGACAAAAATTGTAAAAATGTTATTTTGGTGTATGTACCGTATTTATATTCATATGCATGTGGTAAAAAGCGATTATTTCAATATTAAATAATTGATAGATACACAATATAAGTCAAAAAATGATAAAAAGATAAAAAAAATAAATATTTAATCACTGACACTCCAATTTTATTTATACGTATATATGTATAGATATTAACTACGAATTAACCGTCCTGTCTCACGAAAATCTTACGCAATAAACAATTACTGTTACTCCTGCAGCAAAACTGTACAAAGTAACACTTATCTCTAATTGCTACCATTGTCTGTCGGTCTGCATGCCAGATAAAATTGAAGACGAAAAAATCCTAGTCACAAGTACCTATTAACAATTAAAATACAGGTCGTTAAATACAAATGTGTAAAGATAATTTGAAATTCAAAGTAAGTAATTACAGATCAGCTGAAGCATTTTTTTTGTTAAATTCAAATTCAAAAATCATTTAATAGTTAGATAGATAGATAAATTCTTTATTCACAATTACAGACACATAACATACGTGAGATACAGAAAAAACACGAATTAATAAAAGAAATGTAGGTGACTTTATGTGCCGCAAAAGTGAAAAGGTAGCACTTATTCAGGTAGGACATTTTAGCCGCTTATGAACGTCAAGTTTATTATATTATATTTTTAATTTTTCCTTCTGAAATACAGAAAAAACACGAATTAATAAAAGAAATGTAGGTGACTTTATGTGCCGCAAAAGTGAAAGCACTTATTCAGGTAGGACATTTTAGCCGCTTATGAACGTCAGGATTTTTACATTATATTTTTAATTTTTCCCCCTACCGTCTACCCTTTTGTTCCCTACTGTTTTAAAATGGTAAAAAGCGAAATAAAATTATAGTACTATGATACCCATTGGAAAAATATGTATGTAAGTAACTAGTTGTACCCGCGATTTCGTCCGCGTAATATAGTGACCAAATAATTAATTAATTATCTAACATTATAAAAGCTAAATAACAAAAAAAAACATCATTCTAGCTTCAAAAATGATGAATTTTTTTGCGGGTAAATAATAAGAGGTTGCTGGTCGAGACGATGTATATTACATATGATGATAAACTGACAATATGTACATAGAAATAATGATCTTATATACTAAATAGAAATAGGATAATGTAAGGTGGGGTGACACAGTTTAGATACAGCAGTGCCTAGTAGACAATATTGAATTTGTCTTACTAGGCATTATTAAATGCAATTATTATTTTATGTATCTAGGTGACTGTGTCCCATAAATTTCCATATAGAATTCCATACTATACAATCAACAGCCTAAAAAATAAGTTGAAAGTTTCTAATTTCAAAATGACTATTCTTCCATACAACCTTGCATCTATACAGTATAAAGTGGTAGATAGGGGAACCACTTACAACCCTTTTTTCACATTAAAAAGTAGCCTATGTTTTTTCTCAGGGTCTAGACTATCTGTGTACCAAATTTCATTTAAATCGGTTCAGTAGTTTTGGCGTGAAAGCGAGACAGACAGACAGAGTTACTTTCGCATTTATAATATTATGTATATATTTTTTTCTTTTTTTTTTTATTCAGGACAATTCACACAGCGCCATTTAGACCCAAGTTAAGCTAGAGCATGTGTTATGGGTACTAGATAACTGATACATATACATAGATATTTTTTTTTTTGTAAATACATACATATTAGACATTATAAATATATAATAAAGAGTAAGAATAATATAACAAAAAAGAAAGGAAAATAATTAAAGAAGTAGAGAAGCGGAAGGGGTGAGTTTTAAGGACAAAAAACTGTTTAACTCAATTTCCGGAAAAGTCAAATTTGTAAGTAATAAAAAGATCTGCAACTTCAAAAAAAATCAAAATATCTTTATTCATGTAGGTCTATTACAGACTCTTAGGACATGTCAAATCTACTATCAGTTCGGAATGATTTCGATATGAGAAGAACACCAAAATAACATTTTTTACAATTCTTGTCTGTCTGTCTATTTGTTCCGGCTAATCTCTGAAATGGCTGGACCGATTTTGACGGGCCTTTTATTGGTAGGTAGCTGATGTAATAAGGAGTAACATAGGCTACTTTTATTTTAGAAAAATGAAGAAAGAGGGAGAGAGTAATTTCACGCGGACGAAGTCGCGGGTACATCTAGTAATATATATAGAAAACACCCAGACTGACACAGATAATCATACTCATGAATACAAATATTTGTACCGTGCGAGGAATCGAACCCGCGACCATTGGAAGGCGTGCGAAACTACTAAGTTGTGGATACCTTTACTAGATGTGATTTGACATCGACAAAAAGGGACGGAAGTAATCTGACAAGTCACATGAAAATTCCATAAAATAACAACCTTATATGAATGAAAAACACAATTTAATCATTACATGGTGTAATTGAGCAAAACTTGACAAATTGTGCGCAATTATATATCGAAATTTATATATATAATTCATGAGAAGTCATTTTTAACACCATATTATTATTTTTATATAAATAGAACGACCGTTATAATGTTTGTCTTCATTATTGTGTCATTTGGTTACTTATACATAAAAATAAAATCACAGATGGAATAGATAGTAATAGAAGTATGATAACAATTTACCAGTTTCAGATTTTTTCCTTTATATTCACCTAATTACCTATCTGCATGCCAAATTTGAACTTCCTAGGTCATCTGGAAGTGGGTTATAATTTTGATCTATAGTTGATCAGTGATAAAAATGACGATTTTTGGACATTAATATCTAAATAACCGTTTGAGATATGTTTATGAAATTTGGAACACATATTTATCTCGCAAGTCTCAATATATGAACCGAATTTGACAAGTTTGTGTGAAAGAGTTTTTGAGTTATGAGGGGGTCAAAAGTGGCTCCAAATGGTTCGTGTAAATATACACACGGTGCTGCTTGCCAGTTTACTTGAAACTCGGCTTTGACACGCTACTGCGTTTCTAGATCTGTATAACATAGTATAAAACAAAGTCGCTGTCGCTGTCCGTCCGTCCCTATGTATGCTTAAATCTTTAAAACTACGCAACGGATTTTGAAGCGGTTGTTTTCAATAGATAGAGTGATTCAAGAGGAAGGTTTATATATATAATACACTAGCTTTTGCCCGCGACTTCGCTCGCGTTAATTTATCCCCTTAGGGGTGGAATTTATCAAAATCCTTTCTTAGGGGATGCCTATGACATAGTAGATTTTTTTTTTGGGTTGATAATGGAATGCTGCACCCGCCTGCGCTAACGGTTTACGCTGGCGGGGCACCAGTGGAGGATGATAAGATGAGCATGGGGTCAGGTCAGTTAGCCCATCGTGCAAATTCATCAGGAATTTAACACGATGGTTTCCAGGGGGAACCGCGTGGAGGTCGACCTGACATGGTACATTGCTAGCAATGAGGTTATCAATCCACATTACTAACAATCCCCTTCCCCCCGACATAGTAGATTTATGTATGCAAAGTCAGCTCGATCGGTTTAAAATTGACAACGTTTCATACAAACTTTCATCCCCTATTTTATCCCGTTGGGGGTAGAAATAATCAAAATCCTTTCTTAGCGAATGCCTACGTCATAACATCTACTATGTCAAATTTCACCTTTGAGTCCATATATATATATAGATAGATCACTATGTCAGTCACCTTTGAGTTATATATATATATAGATTCTTATTCTTCATTATTTTGTCATTTGGTTACTTATATATAAAAATAAATATATCCTCGATTTGAATCACAGATGGAATAGATAGTAATAGAAGTATCTGTATAACATAGTATAAAACAAAGTCACTGTCGCTGTCCGTCCGTCCTACCTAGAGTACCTACTACCTACTCAGAAATATTAAAGTAAGTGAATAACGACGAATAACAGTACTCAATAATAAACATGATTATATCAAACTTCTAGAACATACATTTTATGTTTACTAAATCATATTTATTGAGCAAAGTCTATTACTCACTAAACGATTACTTGAATGACGAGCGTGCATGGCAATAGTTGTTCATGCACGGGATTTTCATTTAATGTTAAACATAGACACCTATATAAGTAAACTGAATTTAAAAGCAAAAGAAATTCATTTCAGTTTCTTGCCTGGACGGTAGGGAAAAAATATTTTTATATTATTATTATAAAGAGTTATTAACATAAGTATTGCTCACCATTATTCAGGTCTTAAGATCAATTAGAGCTAATAAAAAAGTAACATAAATCGTTACAGTTCACAGACACTCATCTCATTTCCTAATCTAGAATAAAGCGTACTATCTGCTACGTATTTTAACAAAAAAACCTAGCATTATCTGGATGTAAGAATACAATAAATAGATTTATATTTTTTTCCGTTCAATTCCGGATCGCAACTATTTCATTCAAACGCATAATGGACGTTTAGATCGATTTTATAAAGTTTTACGATACACTCTATTAGATTAAAAACTAAGACAAAAATGTTAACGATTTTTTTTCCTCCAGAGCCTAGTTTCTTACCACTACCCCAGCTCTCAGACTAAAGTCGTATCCTTCAGACAGAATTGATCCTCTTGCGGGTTTGAAGTGTCCTCTGCTCTAACAACTGCTCTACTCTGATCTCAATATCGACTTCAATTCAATTCAGTTTTGTTCTTAATTTTTTTCTTCGGACAATTCACACAGCGCCATCTAGTCCCAAGCTAAGCAGTACTTGACAACTGATATAAATACATGCATACATTTTTTTTGTAAATAAATACATATTATACATAGAAAACACGCAGACCGATACAAACAATCATACTCATACAATACAAATGTTTGTACCGTGCGAGGAATCGAACCCACGACCATCGGATAGTAAAGCGGTGTGCTAAACCACTAGACCACCGAATTGACAACAAACTGAATAAATCGAGTGCATTGGTCTATCGATATTGTAATTGACTTATTAAGTTTTTGTTAGTTCATAGAATAAGCACGCTATACTGAAAGGTTACTAGTTTGTAATTCAAGATTACTAAAAGGTGTGAAACGGCGTATTCCAATGTTGATCAGTTAACAACGGTAACATCAAATAAAAAGATTATAGAATAGAATAGAAAATCATTTATTCAAATAAACTTACATTGAAGCACTTTTGAATAGTCATTACATTTTTTTAATCTACCGCTCATTCGGAAAGCTGTCTCATCACAAGAAGAACGAGCAAGAAACTTGCGTGTTGCTCTTTTAAATAATTTTATGATTACTTTACATTTTTAAGTTTTAGTGTGTGAATACAAACCACCAATTAGCACTAATTCAATTAAATACTCAAATAGATAAAATATTGAATATATAACCAACTGGTTAAACAATTAATAAGAGGGAATCAGTCATAGTGATTAGAGCAGACCAGTTCCTACAAGCAGCACCGGTTCACGAGTATGACGGATGAGCCAGCCATCACTGCGCTCGACCATAAGGGAGCCCAATGACCCGGCCCACCACGCCGCCACAAGTCTGGACGTTTTAGTGAGCATGACTACTCAAAACACTAGATCACGTAAAATCGTAATAAATTATAATCGTATTTAAAAATTTTCTGATAGTGATTGTTCTTTCACTACATTTTCCGATATTTCCTGCAGGGTTAACTTTATAGACGTTGTAGACGTCATCTCCAACGTGGAACAGGAGATTGTTAATAAAGGAAGGTAGTCTCCAATTGATTTGATTGCCTCGCACAACCACATTATGGAATCACCTTCCAGCAATGGTATTTCCGAACCGATACGATATTGAAACCTTCAAGAAAAGAGCTTATTCCTTTTTAAAAGGCCGACAACGTACTTGTAATTCCCCTGGTGTTGCGGGTGCTCATGGGCGGCGGTAATCACTTACCATCAGGTGAGCCGCATGCTCGTTTGTCCCCTGTGTTATAAAAAAAAAAAATTACTGGAATGGTGGATTCCACTCTCCACTCTCTTCCATCAAACATAAATTCTGTTCAAGAAGCCAGTTCTTTTATATTAATATAACATTCAATTGCAGGTATAACAGTAGGCCTGACGGTGATTCCTCAGGCGATAGCGTACGCTGGCGTGGCCGGTCTACCACCCCAATACGGACTCTACTCGTCCTTCATGGCCTGTTTTGTTTACACAGTCTTCGGCTCTGTGAAGGTGAGTATCTACCAGTATCTACACCACGATGCAATTGTTATCAATTCTTACATATAAATAAAATTGGAGTGTCTGTTTGTAATATTGATATAACCGATTTTACTACATGCATATGGATATAAATATGGTATATAAACCAAAATATTTTTTTTTACAATTTATGTCTGTCTGTCTGTATGTTTGTTCCGGGTAATCTCTGAAATGGCTAGACCGATTTTGACGAGACATTTTTAGGTGGTAGCTGATGTTATAAGAAGTAACTTAGGCTACTTTTATTTTACAAAAATATAGTTTAATTCCACGCAGACGAAGTCGCGGGTACAGCTATAATACATATAGCTATTACGTATGGTTAATTTATATTGCTTACTAGCTGTACCCGCGAATTCGTCCACGTGGAATTTACCTTTATTTTCCTCTCCTCATTAGATTAGCTACCTATTAAAAAAAATCCCCTCAAAATCGGTCCCGCCATTTCTGAGATTAGCCGGAACAAACAGACAGACAGACAGGCATAAAATGTAAAAACTACTAATAATACTAATTTCTTACTGCACCGAAATTTAATACATTTCTTTCTGACATAGGACTCTGCGATAGGGCCGACCGCTATAGCAGCTATCCTGACCAGAGAGAATCTGCACGGCTTGGGTCCTGAGTTCGCAGTTCTGCTCGCGTTTCTCTCCGGCTGCGTCGAGCTTGTCATGGGGATCCTTCAGCTTGGTATGTCTCTAATTGTACAATAACATATATATAATATTTTTTATAGCACAGGGGAAATGAACATGCGGCTCGCCTGATGGTAAGTGATTACCGCGGCCCATGAGCACCCGCAATACCAGGGGAATTACAAGTACGTTGTCGGCCTTAAGGGATAAGCTCTTTTCTTGAAGGTTTCAATATCGTATCGTTTAGGAAATACCATTGCTGGAACGTGATTCCACAATGTGGTTGTGCGTGGCAAAAAGTTTCTAGAAAACCTCGCTGTGGAATTCACATAGCTCTATCTAGTCCCAAGCTTAGGAAACCATGTATTATAGGTTTTTTTTTAATTTTATAGTATTATACTGCCTCTTCTTTTGTGTCGACATCCTTTTGACCTATTTTTTTTTTTATTTGTTATATGGGTATTAGACGACTGATATAAATACTTAGATATTTTTTGTATACATACATAAAAAACATAAACCGATACAAACTCATAGTCATAAAAGTTTGCACCGTGCGAGGAATCGAACCTGCGACCATTGGAAATAAAATTTTGTACTAAACCGCTAAACAACCGAGGTCTTATGTTTAAACAACGAAGAATAATCATAAAGTAGTCATCGACAAAAAAATCGGTTATAACCGGTAGCCAGGTAGCCGATGTGAGTGAAGTGGGGTGAACGACTTGTATATATAGTTATATGTATAGTACTAAATCAAATCTGACACCCGCGCGGTTTGTTAGTGTGACTAATCTAACTGTGTCTTGGGTTCCCAACCCAAAATTGCAAAACATGTATCTTTATAAAACTCTATTACAAAAAATATTTTACAAAATGGATGACATTATATATTGTTTTATTAATTAATCTGACATTAATTAATTAATATAAATATTTAAATGTATTTGTAGGATAGTGACATTTATAAATTTAATGACATAATTTTATATTAGACTAGCTGTTCTCGCGACTTCGTCCGCGTGGAATTTAACTTTATTTTTCTAAAATAAAAGTAGCTTAAGTTACTCCTTGTTACATCAGTTACCTGCCAAAAAATGTCCCGTCAAAATCCGTACAGCCATTTCAGAGATTAACCGAAACAAACAGACAGACCGACACAGAGACAAAATTTTTAAAAAATGTTATTTTGGTGTATGTACCGTATATATATTCATATGCATGTAGTAAAAAACGGTTAATTTGAATATTACAAAAAGACACTCTAATTTTATAATGTATAGACTAGCTGTGCCCACGACTTCGTCCGCGTAAAATGACATTACTTCCATATAATCTTTCATCGCCCCTTTCAACCCCCTACAACCCTTTTCCGAATTCAAAAGTAGCCTATAGCCTTTGTCTGGGTCTAGACCATCTGTGTACCATATTTCATTTAAATCGGTTCAGTAGTTTTGACGTGAAAGGGAGACAGACAGACAGATAGAGTTACTTTCACATTTAGAAATAGAAATAGAAATAATCTTTATTCAAATAAACTCATCACAAGCACTTTTGAATAGTCATATTTTGATTCTACCACTCATTCGGAATGCAGATTCATCACAAGAAGAATGAGCAAGAAACTTGTGTGTTGCTCTTTTGAATAGATGTTGTTTTTTATATAATAATTACAGTATAACAAGTAAGAGGCATACGATAATCAACATAGAAATCGCTACGCACTAATTATTAGTGTAATCAGATAATATTGTCAGTGCTATGGATTTTAAGTTTTTCTATAAAAACATTATTGTCGTTAACGAATTCTTCAATTTTATAGTAAGCTTTTTTGCACTGCGGAGCATCGTCACCGCGTCACTGTGTACTGATGTGCGTGTAGGGGGCCCATCTCAGCATTATGCCATGACAAAAGCCACGACGCTGATTTTCATTATATATATTAGTAATGATTAAGCCTGCAGGTTCGGTATACAATTTGTAATCTAGTAAAGAAAATATTGTATAAATTAAGAATATATAATTCAGAACCTCTCACGAGTAATACTGACTTACACTTGACCGTTTTTTTTATTTATCTATCTGCCATGACAAGTCCACATTCCGATCGTATGAAGTCACAATAAATACAAAGAGTGATGTATCATTGTTGATGGAACTTGTAACAAACAAGAGGCATGTTTTCAGTCGCTACATCCAACGGCTCTTAATAGGAGATGAGTTGCCGATTTCTATGCACCATTGTGTATATTTTACTAGCTACTCACCCCGGCTCCGCACGGGTGTAGGTATGTGTAATAATAATAATAATAATACTCTCCTTAAGAGGGGAGATGAGATTTTTTTTTTGAGGTTAGGAATAATATTAATCTCAGGACAATTCACACAGCACAATCTAGACCCAAGTTAAGCTAGCTGAAGTTTGTGTTATGAGTACTAGATAACTGATACATATACATAGATATATATATTTATTGTAAATAAATGCATATTATACATAGAAAATACCCAGACCGATACAAACAATTATACTCATGAATACAAATGTTTGTGCCGTGCGAGGAATCGAACCCGCGACCGTCGGTCGTAAAGCGGTGTACTAGACCGCTAGACCACCGGGGTCGTCATCGTGTAATATACATATAGACCTTCCTCTTGAATCGCTCTATCTATTAAAAAAATGGCTTCAAAATCCGTTGCGTAGTTTTAAAGATTTAAGCATACATAGGGACAGACAGTGACAGTGACTTTGTTAATTTATTTGTCTATGTAATGATGACTTCAGTAAAACACTAGAGCCTTAATTATGTAACGATGTTATTAACAACTAGCTGTACTCGCGACTTCGTCCGCGTGGAATTTAACTTAATTTTTTTTTAATAAAAGATTTTTTCTGGAATAAAAGTAACCTAAGTTACTTCTTATTGCATCAGCTACCTGCCAATAAAGGTCCCGTCAAAATCAGTCCAGCCATTTCAGAGATTAGCCGGAACAAACAGACAGACAAAAATTGTAAAAAATGTTATTTTAATGTATGTACCGTATTTATATTCATATATATGTAGTCAAAAACGATTATTTCAATATTACAAACAGACACTCCAATTTTATTTATATGTGTAGATTTATATTTGACCCAAAAAAAATAGTGCTGGTTGGTAGTTTGTATTCACATGTTTCGACTTGTAAATGTAAACTTACAAGGATTATTTAAAAGAGCAACACACAAGTTTCTTGCTCGTTCTTCTTGTGATGAGACAGCTTACCGAACGAGTGGTAGATAAAAAAAAATATTATGACTATTCAAAAGTGCTTAAATTAAGTTTATTTAAATAAATTATTTTCTATTCTATTCTATTCTAAAGGGTAGAGCAACTCAGTGAACAATTTGCTCAACGAGCAAAACACTGAAATTCAGTAGCAGCCCAGCGGTGATGAGATCGCGTGCAGCGACATATTCACTTAATTTAACTTAAATTTAACTCATCCTTAATAAAAATTATAGAAGAAAAAAATAATAAATTAAATCAATCAAAATATATATTTATATATAATAATATTAGTTTGAATATATATAAAGAAATTCTTTATAATAATATAATTAAATATTTCAACAATTAAAATTTTGGCACGTTCCGCGCTGTTGATTGCAAGGAGTGTCAAAGGGAGCTGTCAATAGAAATAACATAAAAATGGATCGTGCCGCGCTCCATCCAGAATCTATTGAAGAACCCAGAAACATACAAACCCATTTTCGAGTACGTTATATCAACTTTTCAAGATTTGTATCTACTGAAGACAAGTATTAGAACAAAAAAAAATATATACGAAAATATTACTGAAGACAATGGCTGTATGGGCTGAGTCCTTTTGCCTTTCCCTAAAAAGGGAAAAACAGAACCAAAAAAAAAAAAATGGATCGGATATATAAAATATATATATTATAAAAAGACAGTAATAGTTGAATAATAATTGTAATAAACTTTAAATGTCGTTTCTTTGTTTACAGATGAGTTATATGTGTGATTCATTATTTCAGAGCTAATTAATTGTAGTGTTATAAAATTAAATAAAACATTTCTTTGTTTACAGAGAAACTAATTTCAGTTTATTTTATAAAGAAACCCTAAAAATATCATTATATATATATCAATATAAATTCAAATAACTGTTGACGCAGACCAGCACCTAAGCGATCAAAGGCTCTCAAATAATAATAATAATTATATATAAATACTAGGAAATGTCTAGTAGAAAAAGTTTCATCTTTTTTTTAAACACCAGTTTTGATGTACAGACACTTGGGTACACAAGTGAATTGTTAATGTCGACGCGCGTCACTAGATGGCGCTAACATCGAATTAGACCTCGATATAGTTTCGTTTTCATGGACACTAGTAACACAAAATATCAAAATACATCTTTACATTTTGCTAAACCGTCGTAATTAAAAATTATGCAATTTTTGAAGATCGTATTATTGTATTTTATATGAAAATACGGTCCTATATTTTTATATGAAAATACGGTCCTATAAAATAAAATATTGGAAAGTCTGATAATAATTTCAAAAATTTCATATAATACTGGCTTAACTTAAAAAATATAAATATATAATTTATTACTGGCTTAACTCAGAAATTACAAATATTGGAAATTCCACTTTATAGCTGTTGAATTAAAGTCTAATTTCAAAAATTTCTAATATCTGAATTACACCAGTATTGTACTAGATACGCGATATGTCTACAATATATAAGCTGTGTGCGCGGATTTACCCGCGTCTGTTTATAGTCTGTTTTTAATCTCGAAGCCATATTTAACATTGTGTATGTTGCTTTTAGCAATTTTTATATAGCGATATAGCACTATTAGTATAGTAAAACTTTAAAATTAAACCATGATTTGACTAGTTTTGGTCCAATATATAGAAATAAGTCCGGAAATGCGTGAACAATAATTTTCTAAAAGAAATTTTGATTTAAGAGACTTGAAAGGGATGAAAAAATTAAAAATTAAGTTGAAAAATGCCATTTTTCAAAATAACTCGATAACGGTAAGACATATGAGAAAACGTTTCAAATAAAAGTTGTAGAGAAAAAAAATGCGCACAAAACATGTCCTCTTCATTTTTTCACTATCGGCTGTTGTTTAGGCACAAAAGTTAACTTTGACGTTTCTATTTTTCGGAAACAAAGACTAACCGCCATATTTATAAAAACAAATATTCATATGGTGTATTTAAAATATTTATCCGTTTGAAAAATAATTGTAGGTTTGTAGCTTAACACTGTAAAAATTACTATGTACGGAATGTATAAAAATGTATTTTTGTGTTATATAATACACTGAACATTATATCTAAAGAATATTTTTTTGATGAATTTATATTGAATATTTATGATTTGATTTGACAGTAATGAAAATGCTATAATTGTTAAGTAAATTTTGACAGTAATGAAAAACTACTATAATTGTAACGTAAATTTTGAATATATTAATGGTAACAGGCAAGATAGGAAAAGACTGAGGCCGATCCCACTGATGGTCAGCTTTAAAACTAATATTTACACCAGGCGTCTGAGCGCAACCGATGGCGACAAAAAAAGAGTCGATTAAACAAATCGATATAAAAAAAAAAATCGATTAAACAAATCGGTACAGACAGCAACTATACTACATGTATAAAAATTACGTGTCACGTTGTTCGTCCGCGATGGACTCCTAAACTAATCAACCGATTGCAAATTTGATTTGCACATTGTGTGCAATTTGATCCAACTTGAGAGATAGGATAGCTTACATCTCAATTTATAGTCGCAATATTACTTAACTTTAGCCACAGCAACGCGTGAACGCTCTGTTGTAGCCTATAAATTTCACGCGGGCACAGCCTCTGTATCATATCTGCCAGACGTCCCGTATTTCCCGGGATGTCCCGTATTTTAGGCTTGATTTAAGTCCCGCCGTGGGCCCCGAACCCTTCTGTGGTGTGCCTCGTTGCCTAAAACTGGGACATCTCAAATTAATAACCAAACGAGAAGCACTGAATCACTGGCAAGAAATGCCAGGATTAAAAGACCTAAACTTCAAAAGACCTAATATCGGGCTTCTCGACCAAATACTCCAATAGACTACTGCTATTGAGTAAAAACAACATATGCATGATGACTAGGGCCCTCACAGGATACTGCAAATTAAACAAGCATATGGCTAAACTAGGCCTATGCTCGATAAGTATCTGCAGATTCTGCCAAACTGAAGAGGAAACGCCGCTTCACATCCTATGTGGTTGTAGCCCACTCATGCATAAACGAAATATCTCCTTTGGAAAGTTTACACTCTTTCCCGAGGAGATAAAAACCATCGCTCCTAAGAATATCCTTCAATTCTTGTATCTGACGGGTCTAGGTAGCGAACTCTGAAAAGGGCGAGCACAATAGATCTATGTAGGTCGCAGTGCTACAGGTGCTACACATCTGACAATAGCCCAAACAATCCAATAAAAAAAAATAAAATAAAAATAAGTCCCGGCGGGATGGACTCTGTCCCGCATTCGAATCGAGCTGCATTTTTTATTATTAAATCGATCGATCTACGCTAGACAAAAAGCGTAAGCGTGAGTGCTAAATATACGAACGTTCAACGTTCGACCACTAATGTAATAAAAAGCGAGTTGATAACCGTCTTTTATTACGATTATAATTGTATTGATTTTTATAAATATGTTAAAACCAATAAAAATATGTTTAAGCTGACTTGCTCCTCAGAAGAATATATAAAAAAAAATGTTACTATATAATTTTGTTTTTATTTCTTCATCATCATCATCGCAGCCCGGAAGACGTCCACTGCTGGACGTAGGCTTCCCCCATAGATCTCCACGACGATCGGTCCTGCGCTGCTCGTATCCGATGCTTTCCAGCGATCTTGACCAGATCGTCGGTCCACCTTGCTGGAGGCCTTCCCACGCTGCGTCTTCCGGTCCGTGGTCGCCACTCGAGGACTTTACTGCCCCAACGGCCATCTGTCCTACGAGCTATGTGCCCTGCCCATTGCCACTTCAGAGTCGCAATTCTTCGGGCTATGTCGGTCACTCTTGTTTTTATTTGTCCCCGGTAAAAAACTAATTTGGCGTATTTTTTGCCCATTTAAGCATTTTTTTAAGTCTATAAAGGCTGAAAAAATATCTGCCTACTCTAATCATATTTCCTGGGGGGATTGTTAGTAATGTGAACTGATCATATTGCTAGCAATGTACCATGTCAGGTTGACCTCCACGCGGTTTCCCCTGGAAACCATCGTGATAAATTCTTGGTGAAATTATCACGATGTGCTAACTGACCTGACTTCAGGCTCATCTTATCATCCACCACTGGTGCCTCGCCAGCGTAAACCATTAGCGCAGGCGGGTGCACCATTCCAATATCATACTTAAAAAAATCATATTTCCTGATGGCAACATTTCCATGTTCAGGGTTCCTGATCGACTTCATCAGCGGCCCGGTGTCTGTTGGGTTCACATCAGCGGCTGCCATCATCATCGCCACCACGCAAGTCAAGGATATACTGGGCCTCAGCTTCCCTGGTGGAAAATTTCTGCAGGTAAGGCAGGCAATGTTTTACATTTGAAACCCGTATGTATTGAAAGAAACGATGTCATAAAAATTTACATACTACTCATTGCAAAATGGATGACATTATATTTTTTTTTTAATAAGCATAAATATTAACATTAATTAATTAATATAGATATTTAAATGTATTTGTGGGTATTCGTACTGTAATGACATAGTTTTATATTAAACTACCTGTCCCGGCAAACGTTGTTTTGCCTTAAAATAAAATAAAAATCTAGGGGTGGACTACCCCTAACATTTTTTTTTTAAGAGCTGTGCTCTTGTCGGTGGAGCTCCCGCCACCTTCCACGATCTTCTATCAGTCCCTTCACTGTTGATACGACACGACTCCAACTTTTTCTTTAACCTGCTTGATATAGCTGTGTCTCGGTCTTCCCCTTCCTCTCTTTCCATCTATTTTTCCTTCTATAATGTTGTTAATTAGTTCGTCGTGTCGTATCAAGTTAGTAAGTGTCGTATCGTTTCATCCCCCTAACATTTAGGGGGATGAAAAATAGATGTTGGCCGATTCTCAGACCTACTCAATTGGCTCACAAAATTTTATGAGAATCGGTCAAGCCGTTTCGGAGGAGTATGGGAACGAAAACTGTGACACGAGAATTTTATATATAAGTTGAATATGATTTAATTTTAATATTTGCATACCTCCATGGGGTGCTGCAGGTCATGTACTTATATTAGTTATTAAGATCCGAAACTACCATGTAGCAAGCAAATAAATAAATTATTATTATTATTATTATTTTGTTAGTTGCTCCTCACTACATAGTATAAAACAAAGTCGCTGTCGCTGTCTGTCCTTATATATGCTTAAATCTTTAAAACTACGCAACGGAATTTAAAGTATTTTTTGTAATAGATAGAGTGATTCAAGAGAGAGTTACAGATTATATAGAGTTAGTTAAGAGAAGGGTATAACTAGGTAGTTATACCCTTCTCTTAACTAACTCTAAAGTACTACCTCTACAGTAGTACCTACTCGCCCCGACTTCGCACGGGTGTACATATATTATATGTAAACCTTCCTCTTGAATAACTGTATCTATTAAAATGAAAACGCATCAAAATCCGTTGCATGGTTTTAAAGATTTAAGCATACATAGGGGCGGACAGACAGCGACAGCGACTTTGTTTTATACTATGTAATAATAAAATAATTCTGTATCTAATATTTGAAGCAAACACCGGTACATACGCCGAAATAACATTTTTTACAATTTTTGTCTATCTGTCTGTTTGTTCCGGCTAATCTCTGAAATATCTGGACCGATTTTGACGGGACTTTTATTGGCAACTAGCTGATGTAATAAGGAGTAACTTAGGCTACTTATATTTTAGAAAAATAAACTTAAATTCCACGCGGCCAATCGCGACTAACTGTAGTGGCTAATATAAATGATGAGTGGCTAATATATGATGACATGCAAATAAAGTTTAAAAGAGGCTAGCATTTAACAAATCACTTAATTCGTCCTAGTCATTAAAGTACGTGGTATTGAGGAAGTGATGTTCGAGAACACAAATCAGATGACAATCTGCGTAAATTGTACACGAGAGTTAGTTAATGGGGTACAGGAAATGGCGGTACGTATAAATAATTGAGTAAATACGTCTTAGCTAATGTTTTAGTCAGCTTATATGGAAATGAGTGGAGGCTGTTTGCATTTGTTATTTATGGTAAAGATGCGTTTCACTCGCCCTAGACTTAAGTGAGATCTTAGGAATCTAATTTTAGAATAGAATAGAATAGAATTTTTATTAACTCGTTTTTACAGTAATAAATAAGAAATACAAGAATAATTTACACATTAAAACGGAGTCAATGTGGGCCACAACTCAGCATAATGCTGGAAATAGTTTCCAGCGCTGATTTTCAGTTGGGCTCTCAGTACGGACGCGCAAATATTACAATTAAAAAATACGTATACATTAAATTTTAGTAATTTATTCATGGACACTATGCTGAAGATGCGTTTCACTCGTCCTAGACTTAAGTGAGATCTTAGGAATCTAATTTTAGTAATTTATTCATGGACACTATGCTGAAGATGCATTTCACTTGCCCTAGACATAAGTGAGATCTTAGGAATCTAATTTTAGTAATTTATTCATGGACACTATGCTGAAGATGCGTTTCACTCGTCCTAGACTTAAGTGAGATCTTAGGAATCTAATTTTAGTAATTTATTCATGGACACTATACTGAAGATGCGTTTCACTCGTTCTAGACTTAAGTGAGATCTTAGGAATCTAATTTTAGAATAGAATAGAATAGAATTTTTATTAACTCGTTTTTACAGTAATAAATAAGAAATACAAGAATAATTTACACATTAAAAAATTTATTAATGCAAATAGTTTCCAGCGCTGATTTTCAGTTGGGCCCTCAGTACGGACGCGCAAATATTACAATTAAAAAATACGTATACATTAAATTTTAGTAATTTATTCATGGACACTATGCTGAAGATGCGTTTCACTCGTCCTAGACTTAAGTGAGATCTTAGGAATCTAATTTTAGTAATTTATTCATGGACACTATACTGAAGATGCGTTTCACTCGTTCTAGACTTAAGTGAGATCTTAGGAATCTAATTTTAGTAATTTATTCATGGACACTATACTGAAGATGCGTTTCACTCGTCCTAGACTTAAGTGAGATCTAAGTTAACTTAAAATTCATAGCGCTATGTATAATATGTATGTATTTACAAAAAAAAATCTATGTATTTGTATCAGTTGTCTAGAACCCATAACACAAGCTTTAGCTAGCTTAACAACAAACTCCCACGGCCTTATTACAAAAAGATAAACCTGGTTTAGCACTAGTAATAAACCATTCACCAATGTATTCCTTATTACAAAATGAAGTTTATCTCTAAATCGTGATTCGTCTATGGTCTAAAGTTAGACCTGCGATGCCCCTAGTTTAACAGTGGTCTAAATGCAAAAATACAAACTCCATTTTAAAAATTCTATTGTAAGTTGTAGTTTTTGGAAAAATAGTTTAACTAAATTAAAAATATTTAAAGCAAATTTTACGACAATAAAAATATATAAAAGACGTTATTTGTTATTTTTTCACTCATTTGACTTTGAAATAGTCACCATTCGAACGATCCAATAAAAATATCTCGCCGTTCCTTTTCTCCGTATAGGACTCCTACTTGTAATTTAAAACTGATTTTCAGCCTAATAGTACATTAATAAATATTATATATTAATGAAATAGTTATAATGAAGACATAGATAAATAGAAATAAATTTATTTTTAGTTTATACATTTTTCTTTGAACTAATATTATTTTTGATCTTTTCAGTTTTCTGGTAAAATGGAACGTAATTGTACGGTGACAGACATGAGTGACTGATTTCTGTATGGAATACATAAGGAACGATTTAACTGTAGTACTAAGTAGTCCTCTGTTAGATCTGGATTCGTAATAATGTTAGGTTTATTCCAAGTATTAACTTTAGGAATGGTTTAAACCTCGACCATTTAGACCACGTTTCGTCCGAGTTTTAACAGATTTTTTGTAATAAGACCGCCAGAGTCTGTAGTCAATTTGCCAGAAAAAAAATTCAAATGTGTCATAAAATATTTTCTTTGTAAAAAAGCTTATTATAAAATTGAAGAATTTATAAATGATAATGATGTTTTTGTAGAAAATATGTAACTTAAAATTCATAGCGCTGATAATGTTATCTGATTGAACAGAGATTAAGTGCGTAGCGGTTTCTATGTTGATTGTCGCATGCCTAATCCTTGTTGTTAATTAAATATAAGTAAATCAATATTTATTTAAAAGAGCAACACACAAGTTTCTTGCTTACTCTTCTTGTGATGAATCTGCATTCTGAATAAGCGGTAGAATAAAAAAACTTGAATATTCAAAAGTGCTTATATTTTTTTTATGGATGATAATGGAATGGCTCACCCGCCTGCGCTGACGGTTTTCGCTGGCGGGGCACCAGTGGAGGATGATAAGATGAACATGAGGTCAGGACAGTTAGCCCATAAATTCACTAAGATTTATCAAAATGGTTTCCAGGGGCAACCGCGTGGAAGTCAACCTGACATGGTACATTGCTAGCAATATGGTCATCAGTCCACAATACTAATCCCCTTTCGCCCCAGTGCTTATATTAAGTTTATTTGAATAAAGATTATTTCTATTTCTATTATTTTAATAGTTTATTCATGGACACTCTGCTGCTAAATAATTAGTTTTTTAAATTTGATAATGGAGAAAAAATTTCGCGCGCAGATAAAATAGATAGATAATAGATAAATGCTTTATTCAACAATTACAAACACATATCATACATGAGATACATTTTATAAATAGAAATAAAGTTTACAAATTAAAAATGCAGGAATATCATATTACAAAATTAAAAAATGGAGGTGGCTTTATGTGTCGCAATGATGAAGAGGCAACCAACTCAGCATGAAGCTACAGATAAGTCTGCAGCGCTGATATTCTGTTGGCTCCTATAATTAAATACATACTTACATACATATATACGTGAATGTTTATATATTACACTTCGAGCTCTTAAACAATTATACAATTACAAAACATTATACAATATATAAATAGATTAAAAATGATGTGATATGTTTATAATAGTTAAATTTTTAAAAAATACACACGTGAATATTTTTTTTATACTACGATGGTGGCTATCAAGCATACGGCCCATCTGATGGTAAATGGTTACCGTAGCCTATGAACGCCTGAAACACCAGGGGTATCACGTGCGCGTTGCCGACCCTTAAGAAACCTTAATATACCCTTCTTGAAAAACCCCATGCTGTAGTCTCGTGGGAAAACCTCGGCAGGAAGTTCATTCTAAAATCTAAGTGTACACGGGATGAACCTCCTCTGAAACCGCTCCACTGTTCGGGACCACTTAGGTTCCAGCGTGTGGGGATGAATTCCCTGTCGATGGCGAGCTGTGCGATGGTAAAAGGTGGCTGTCGGCATCATGTCGAACAATTCCTCAAAACAGAGTCCGTTGTATAATCGGTAGAATACACAAAGCGAAGCGAAGTCTCGTCTCAAGCTAAGTGGCTTTTATACCGCCAGAGAGATTGGGATCATCGACAATTCTCATAGCACGTCTCTGAACCGAGTCAAAAGGACCGAGCTGGTATCCAGGTGCTCCCGCCCAAAGATGAGAGCAGTACTCCATGTGCGGCCGAACCTGTGACTTATATAAGAGAAGTCTCTGGTCCGCAGTGAAGTACCGCCTCGCTCTATTGAGCACACCGAGCTTCTTGGACGCCAGCTTTACGTTTCCTTCCAGGTGACTGCTGAACTCAACAGTATTAGAGATGTCGACACCGAGGATCCCAATACTCTTAGAGATGGTAACGGACGTGTTCTGGAATTGAGGAACCACAGCAAAAAGGGTTTTCTTAGCGGTGAACGCACAGGCATTCATACAACATAACAAAATCATAGTAAAAAAGCTGTTGATTTAAATATTTTTGTTATATAACTTTGTATATTATTTTGCATGCCGAATTCGCCTATAAATAATTGTTCATTTAGATCAGTGATTCCACCAAAGTGGTCTATATCGACCTCCAGTGGTCTATGACAAACTGCAAAGGGTCTACGACAGCGATCATCTTGTTGTTTTTACTTTATGTTTTTAATACTAAACTTGACTACAGTTAGAAATTTATAAAAAATCAATACCATGTAAGAATGGGGGGTCTACCCAAAACCGAAGAATATGGCAAGAATGGTCTACGACACAAAAAAGTTTGGGAACCTCTGATTAAGACCATGTAATTAAATAAATTGTATAATTGTAAAACTGTTGGTGTCCCTAAATAAATTAAAAAAAAACATTAGGACACACACACACTACAGGAGAGGATCCAGTTGTAATCTTTTCAAAATTTACGTATCAGAGATTGTCTCTCTGTCTGTCCAAAGTGAGTATGTCCGTCTGTTTGTTACATTTAGACCAATAAACCCGCTGAACAAATCCTATAGTCTCAGCCCCTCAGTCACTCAAAGGTTGACTGGAAGAAATCCCACTTTTGGGACAAGTCAGCCAATGCACCATTTTTTTTTCAAGACATGTTAATAATCTGTACAATAAATTACCAACCAACTATTCAAAAGTAAATAAAGTGTATTTGAATAAATTATTTTCTATTCTCTTAAACTTTAGATTACCAGTTAACATTGAGATGTAACGGGTGTAGTAGACACCGCGTACCTACTCGTATTGGAGTGGAAGCTAATTATTACAGTAATAAACTGCGTTTTTGCTGCTATAATTTAATACTTTTTGCGACAGTTTTTATCGGCACACTTTCTAATGACCTTCAACTGTTTATTTCCATTGCGTACGCTCGCCACACCGTGTAAAAAACCTAGGCTTTAACATAACTACTAAATTATTTATCACTAGCTACTTGCCCCGGCTTGGCACGGATGTACATGTATTATACATATAAACCTTCCTCTTGAATCACTCTATCTATATAAAAAAAACCGCTTCAAAATCCGTTGCGTAGTTTTAAATATTTAAGCGTATATAAGGACAGATAGCGATAGAGACTTTGTTTTATACTATGTAATGTTGATGCCTACGACTACCTTTTACATCGACAGGGAATTCATCCCCACGCGTTGGAACCTAAGTGGTTTCGGACAGTGGGGTTTTAGAGGAGCTTCCTCCCGCGTACACTTAGATTGTGGAATAAACTTACCTGCCGAGGTTACCTCGCGTGACTAGAAGCATAGGGTTTTATGGGGTTTTTCAAGAAGGGTATAAGGTTTCTTAAGGATCAGCAACGCACACTGACACGCCTGGTGTCTCAAGCGTACATAGGCTACGGTAACAGTTTTACATCAGATGGGCCGTAGGCTTGTTTGCAACCACAGTAGTGTAAACAAATTTCCGTCTACAGAGCGTATAAGCATTTGATTCAAGTAGCTGTAATGGACCTTTTTTTTTAACGGGGTAAAATCCTTTTGAGCCTTCGGCAAATCCAGGCAGGTACACGGGCACTGTCGACTCTTCTCGAGGTTCGAACCCCTAGCGGTGCGGTGCAGACTAGTAATATACGTCAATGGCTGAAAGACAACTCCTGACTATACGATATAGTCAGGAGTTGTCTTTCAGCCGCTCCATAAGTCCGTCCTTTGGTTTGGAGTGCCATCTGCACTCCCCTATCATTCGGTGAAGCTGTAAAGGCCAGCTGCGGCCAACTGCATAGTACAGATGGAAAAAAAATCTTATATACAGGCAAATAATAGAAATAGAAATAATCTTTATTCAAATAAACTCATTACAAGCAGTTTTGAATAGTCATATTTTTATTCTACCACTCATTCGGAATGCAGATTCATCACAAGAAGAATGAGCAAGAAACTTGTGTGTTGCTCTTTTGAATAGATGTTTTTTTTATATAATAATTACAGTATAACAAGTAAGAGGCATGCAATAATCAACATAGAATTCGCTACGCACTAATTATTAGTGTAATCAGAAAATATTGTCAGTGCTATGGATTTTAAGTTTTTCTATAAAAACATTATTATCGTTAACGAATTCTTCAATTTTATAGTAAGCTTTTTTCCAAAGGAAGTGTTTTACATGACATTTAAATCTTTTTTCAGGCAGATTTGTAACAGACTCTGCTATTTTGTTTTAAACAATTGCAATTGCCATAAAACGAATTACTAACTTTAGTTAAACGACATTTAGGTAAATTCAGTTTGTTATTGTTGCGTAAGCTTTTATTAGTGTAATCACTAACTCTTTTGAAACTGTCTATATTCTTCCTGGCATACATCATATTTTCATAAATATATTGAGAAGCAACGGTGAGGATATTTGATTCCTTAAAGCAACATCGTAAAGACTCCGTGGAATTCATACTATGCATGGATAATCTTATATTATACTAGCTGTCCCCAAGCATTGTTTTGGCTTAAAATAAAAAAAAATTAGGGACTACCCCTAACATTTAGGGGGATGAAAAATAGATATTGGCCGATTCTCAGACCTACTCAATGCGCTCACAAAATTTCATGAGAATCGGTCAAGCCGTCTCGGAGGAGTATGGGAACGAAAACTGTGACACGAGAATTTTATATATAAGATATAGATACCAGGTATCAGCAGGTGTTGTTATTCGAGTGACATAAAAATATGTTTATACCACGGTGGTAATCACCTCCCCACTATAGCGTTATGTAAGATGTGATGAGTGTGTAAAACTTAACTTAATTCTATGTTAGAGACATAAACTAATGGAAGGGTCTCCAGTGTTGAGAGAAATATTACAAGTGTAGGCACATATCTCATTTTAATGTCTTGGGCCTGGAACAGGTGTGGTCCGGCATGTACGAGCACATCGGGGAGACCAGACTCTGGGACGCGGTGCTGGGCATCTCCTGCATCGTGGTGCTGCTTCTCCTCAGGGTATGTAATTTTTTTTATTACATTTATTTAGTGATTTTTATCAAATTCAAATTCAAATTCAAAAATCATTTATTCATGTAGGACATTTTAGCCGTTTATGAACGTTAAGTTTTTACATTATAATTTTTTTTCCCTACCGTCCAGTTCGGTATATAGATCCAATTGAGAAGAACTGGCAAGAAACTCAATTGATTTACATTTTTTAAAAAGCCAGTTTATTTACAATGCATAGGTATTTATATAGGTGTCTATGTCTAACATTAAATGAAAATCCCGAACATGAAAACTATTGCCATGCACGCTCGTCATTTAAGTAATCGTTTAGTGAGTAATAGGCCTTGCTCAGTAAATATGATTTAACAGATGTTTTGAATTTATTTAAGGGTAATTCCAATATATCCTTTGGTATCTTATTGTAAATTTTTATACCTATTCCCATAAAAGACCTATTGACTTTTTCTAAACGATTATTGGGGACAGCAAGTTTGTCTTTAAATCTAGTATTAATATTATGAATTTTGTTGGAAATAAGTCAAGATTTTTATTATATTTTGAGAATATTTTCCTCTTTGAATTTCTCTCTTAATCATAATATGATGATGCTAGTCCCATTGTATCTTCTACGTGTAACTCTATAAATATTAACAGCTCAACAAAGGCTGCTCCATTTCACACTGTGTATTTCTAGCCTCGGTGGTATAGCGGTTTAGAACACCGCTTTACTTCCGATGGTCGCGGGTTCGATTCCTAACACCGTGCACACATTTGTATTCATGACTTCATTTGTATCGGTCTGGGTGTTTTCTATGTATATTATGTCTGTAAAAAAATATCTAAGACTTTGTATCTGATGTTTAGTACCCATAACACAAGCTTTGCTTAGTTTGGTGTTAGATGACACTGTGTGCATTTTGTTGGATTATTATTATTATTTCTGATGTAAAATTTATATTATAAATAAAAAAGGATAAAGGCAAGGCAATGATGATGATATATCTTACATATAAAATTCTCGTGTCACATTTTTCGTTCCCATACTCCTCCGAAACGGCTTGACCGATTCTCATGAAATTTTGTGAGCATATTGAGTAGGTCTGAGAATCGGCTAACATCTATTTTTCATCCCCCTAAATGTTAGGGGTAGTCCACCCCTAATTTTTTTTTTATTTTAAGGCAAAACAACGTTTGTCAGGACAGCTAGTATATATATATATAACTTAATTAACCCAGTTATTAGGTTCAATAACATAACAATATCTCCAATTTGGTCTAACTGTGTCTGCAAATGATGTGACTAATACGCTATTGAACTGTAATAAGTTTATTGATGATGGATTGACGTCACCACCACAGATAATATAATATATATATATATATATATCCCATATAAGAAAATGGTTCCTTCCTAACTCACGGGCTATTTTATTTCGCCGCCGTAGGCGATAGATGTCGCTATATCTGAAGCAGTTCGGATTACTAGTGGGTGATTAGTAATAAAGCATGAAAATAGATGGCAGAGAATTCGGTCTACATGACATCTGTTTTGCAAAGATACGTACATAATAGATATATAACTGTATCGAACTCCTGATTGGGTACAATCGAAAATTCAATGTAGGTATAATATTGTTCGCTGACAGTCTACAGACACGGCTAATGTACCTATGTATCTATGTACTATGTTACAGTTACTTTTTTACATGCCTACTTTTTTTCTCACGACGAAGATATGTCGTAACGCGTCTGCACTAAAATCGGGCTATCGGTTAGGAGCAATTTTCTCCTTAACGAATAGCCCGATTTTTTTTTTTTTATTTAAATTGTTATGTGATAGTGATAGATTTTATATAATTAATTGATGTGAATATGGGTACCTCATATAATTTTCAGTGTATAATTATTTCTCAATACGTAGTTAATTATGGTAAACTGGCAATTTGTAAAACTGAAAATAATATCTGCAAACCATCAATCTGTTATATGTAGGTTCTTTCAGGGATACTACATCGGTGCTAATGACATGTAGGTACTTATTTTGATGTTATACCTATTTGTAGAACCTTCGATATCTACAAACTACGCCTTTACTGCTAGTTTTTTGGTTTTGTTGTAAGTTGTTATTCAGTTGAAATTAAGCTGCGAAATTACAGGATATTTGGACATAACATCTATGTTCTCCGGAATGATAACGTATGCGGGATATAGCGGGCACGACATGATGACGTAATGCTGTTTAATAATATATGTGTATGTATGTACGTCGGATAGCGTCGTGGTTGGTTGGATCGTCAGCTTATTTACCATTTCAGTTAATAATAGTAGGTAGTAACTTTTGACAATATGGATGAGGGAGGGTAACGGTGATGATGATGAGATCAATAATGACTGTTGACGATAGTGACGGTGGTATTTATTTATGACCACCATAAAATTCATCATTGGCAGTATTCTCAACATTATCATCATTGTTCATCATGATGATTGAGATCAAATTAATTAATTGATTAAAAAAGTAGCAAGTATTAGGTAGGTACTAAGTCCTTATATGACTTAAATACAAAGTTCTGGGATGCTGTGATATACTACAGTCTCTAGATTTAGTTTCTTATTAGTATTCCACGACCAAAGTCTATAGACAGAAATATAGATTTACACAAAGTTTTTTGATGTAAATGGGAATTATTACACACATTGCATTAAAAAATATATATGATTACCATCTAATACAAAATCATTATGTAGTAAATAATTCCTGACATTTTAAATCGAATGAGGTGAAACTAACATTGCATGAACACAACACTTGAAGATCATAAAATTTTTATTTCAGGTAACAAAACACTTTTAAATAATTTATTAATCACAGAATAAACAATTGTTAATAATTTACAATAATATTTCTTTCACTGCTTGTCTGTTATACCACTAAAACTTCAAACACTTCTGTTATTTTGATATTATATTCCAAATAAATCAATATCAAGACATAATATTTCATCAAAATCATTTCATAATTAATTCCTGGTACACAAAATATTCCTGGATTTGTTGATGAAGCAATATAATAATAATCATATGCTTAAATCATAAACTTATTTGCAGTCGGTTACACATAATATAATTACTTGGAATTTCTTCTCATCACTAGTCCATTGCTTTCTTACTTATTTAATTATATTATTAATTGCATTGTGATTAATAATTTACAGATTTTTCTTCTGCTTTTTTCTCTTATTTTTACTTGCATTATTATTTTATACAGTAAAATGTTCATATATACATATATATTTCTTATTCTTTTGAACCCCTGATCTTTACAGTAAAAATGTTATTTATCTTCATCTGAATGACTAGGAGATATAGAATATCATCTCTTATTTGTTTAAACTTTGTTCAGTATTAAGTTGTTGATGTCAGGAAAATCTGAAAACAATATCATATACCTATGTTACATTTTCATGAACTTACATGAATGAATTTACATGAAAGTAACTAAACTGTAACCTTATTAGCACAATAAACATATTATTCATACATCATATTCATTCAGTTCTAATAAAATATAAAAATAATACTACTGTTTAGTTAGTACTTTATTTTGATTAATAATTTTCAGTATTTTCTCAATCAATCAATCAATCAATCAATCAATCAATCAATCAAAAATTATAAAATCAGTGTTAGTTTTCTTTTTTGAAGTTACATTCATAACAATAATAAAAACATAATAATACCACATTAAAGCGGTCACCAAGTACCTATGTTTATTATATTTTAATATGAAAGATACACACGCATACATATGCAAGTTTTTAACAACTTATAGTTATACCTGGTATGAGATAATCCTCAAAGACACGATAGTTTACTAAATATTTGTAGTAGTCCTTAGACACATTTAAATTATTGAGTTTGACAAAAAAATAAGAAGTTCAATGAACTCTGAACAGGAACAATTCAAAAGTTGAAGTACCTACTTAACTTAAATGATGAAAAAAAGAGAAAAAATCCAATGCTAGTGAAAATATGTTTTAAGCATTTGACTTAAAGTCGTTTATCCTATTCTTTTATTCCTATATTTTACATTTTTAACATTTCATTTACATATGTTGCCAGTACTCGTTGTCATTTCGATATAATAAAAAAATATGGACCAACCTACGATTTAAAATCGATATTTTTATTTGTGATGAAATCTAATAATATAAATTATGAATAACCTACCCTCGAATGGAGATATTAAAAAACTAATTATCATGAATAGTAGGTACTAGGATCAGTAATATATATAATCATAGTATTATGAATGATTATCGTTTCAAAACCTTGTACAATTTAGTAAGGTTGAAAATATCCTTCTACAAAAGCAAAATTCGAGTATTTGTAAAGTTTCTTATGAGTATTTGTAAAAATTCGAGGATCCTCATATTTAGCTATCAATGTCAGTAATTTAGATACCATATAACACTTGTTTATTGAGGTTTCATAAAGGTATAGCTGACCTTATATACTCTATACCACATCCAATTCTCATTCATTAAATAACAATAAGTAGGTATTTATTTTTTTTAATAGAAGAACTATGTTACTAATGTCATTAATTGCTATAATTACCAGGGTGACCGTGTGGACGTTGATATAATAGAGCACACTTGTATCAGATCAATCTAATTAATATTTCCCTTTTCAAGTTTCGAAGTTATGAGCGAACAGATAAATATATAGTACTTGCATACCTGCCAAAATCTCTCTATTTTGCCGTCGTCGAGTAAAAATTATGCAATGCAATTCGTTCCAAATAAGAGTATAATACAAAATGATGAAATTTTACTGTTTACAAAGACTAATTAAAAGCACCATCGAATAGTGCGTTGTAATATCCTGTTATCGATTATTCGAAAAAATCGATAAATCTATGCATTTATTTTTAATATGGCAATACGTTCTAAATAAGTATTACTGGAATATGGTTTTCTTGTTTAGCTGTTTTATATTTACTT